CCATAGTAATTTTCTCTCTGATATTTTTTTTAGCCTTCCTTCAGTAGTCCATCCAATTCAACCTTAACATTCTTCTATAGCACCAAATTTCAAACAACTTCAAACTTTTTCGTTCTATCTCTGTTTTTTCTAGGTCTTCTATAAAGGGTCATACTACATACATACGTTTTCAGTAGATTTTTTATCGTTCACAGGCTAATTTTTCTTGATGTAAATAGAGTTTACTTGTTGCTAAAGGCTATTTAGGATTGACAGATACGTTTTATTATTTTATTCCCATTTCTTCCAACATTGCTGATTGTAATCTCTAGCTATGTAAATTCATCTACTTGATTTACTTTTGTGTTTCCTCGTATTTATATCTATACTCTGTTTTTTTTGCCCTTCTACATATGAGCACTCTATTCTTTTAAACATTTACTTTCACGTGCGAATCGTTAATTTTTAATTCATCCATGGTTTTGGTAAGTTTGTCCAAATCTTCAAATTAATGATATTTCTTCTGCAAAACGATTTATTAATTAAAACAAATAATTATTTTTGTTTCTTCTATGTTATCTTGGATTTTTATAACAGCTAACTCGTCTTCATATAAGTTATACAAAAGTCTTTTAGTCAGATTTACATTATCAAATTCTTTTTCGATGTCCACAAAAGCTGTATCGCTTGTACAAGTTTGTTATAAGTTTGTTTTGTCTTTCGTAATTCTCTTTTGAATTATTAACTTTAATGCCAATATTGCATCTCCTGTTCTCATATTTTTTCTGTATCCGAAGTGGTCCTTAGTCAGCAATTTGTCTACCTTAGCTTTAATACGTTGGAATAAAATCGTGCAAGTATATTAGAGGCCTGGGTTAGCAGCCTAATAGCTTGGAATCCTTGAGTGTTTTTTGCAGCAGCTTCCTTAGGTACGGATATAAATATGCTTGTTATATAATTCTCAGACATTTCACCAGTTTCATATATATCTTTAATACGAGGCGTGTCCAGAAAGTAAGTGTACTCAATTTTTGTAGGCTTCAAAAAAATTTATTAAAAAAAAAAAATAACGTGGTTACATTAATATATTTGTGTGCTATTTTTCTACATAGTCACCATTTCTTTCAATGCAGGTTGTGAGACGGCAGATTAATTTTTTTATGCCTGCCTCGTAGAACTCTGCCGCCATCTCCTTTGTCCACTTGTCGACCGCCCCCTTCACTTCCTCGTCAGTTGAAAATTTTTTTCCACCCATGTGCTTCTTCAGGGAAGTGAACAAATGGTAATCTGAAGGCACCAGGTCGGGGGAACATGGGGAGTGGTTCAAAACNGCTCGTTAACAGACCCCTCCTTTTATTTTGAATAGCTCTCCTCAATTTTTTTAGGGTCTCACAATACCTTGCTGCATTGATGGTCTCCCCCTGAGGTAAATATTCAATCAAAATGATGCCTTTGTGGTCCCAAAACACTAATGCCATGATTTTTTTGGCTGAAATGGTGGTTTTGAACTTTTTGGTTGAGGGTGAAGTGGTGTGACGCCACTGTTCGGACTGTCTCTTAGTTTCAGGTGTATAGTGTGTAACCCAAGTTTCATCTCCAGTAATAATAGACTTGAGAAAATTATCACCGTCCAGTTCATAGCGTTCCAAAAATTCTCTGGAGGCTTGCACTCGATTCAACATGTGTTCTTCAGTAAGCTGTTTTGGGATCCATCTTGCGCACAGTTTATGAAATCCAAGTGTTTCTGTGATTGTTTCGTGGAGCAGAGACCATGACAGTTGCGGAAACATTGCAGAAAGTTCATCCAGAGTCAATCTGCTGTCGTCACGGACCGTATTCTCGACTTTTTTCACAATGTCGTCAGTCAAAATCGACGGTCTCCCACTCCTCAGATCGTCATGTACATTCGTACGGCCGTTTTTAAACTCCCTACACCACTTGTATACACTGGTATCGTTCATATGGCCTTCACCATAAACAGTTCGTACCTCATTAAAAATCTCATGTGGAGATTTTTCCTTTACAACAAGGTAACGGATAACAGCGCGGATTTCGCACTTGGTGGCAGACTCGATCAACATGTTTAACAAAAAATAATCGTGTGACCACAGTTTTCAACGTACTGAACTCGTTCTGGTCTTGTTTTAAAGGTTAGGAGTAAAGCTATACGGCAGTGTAGCCAACATAGTAAAAAAAATATTCCCTATGGCCGTGAGAGCCTCAGTACACTTACTTTCTGGACACGCCTTGTAATTTGATGTAATTTATTTTTAACTTTTTTCCCAGATTCTTTTCAAAATCTCCACTTGTATTCCATCAATCATTGCTGCTTCTTTGTCATTTAGATTTGCCAATGCTTTTTCAAAATCTTTCCTCATAACTAAGTCTTTTATCCTTCTTCAAATTTTTATTTTTCGTTTGTATCTTTATCCGTAAGTGATTACCTGCATATAGAATTTCTGAATATTTCTCAATTTTATGGCTATATCATTTTGTTCAACTGACATTTTTCAATTTGTTTTCTTCTCCTCCTCTCGCTCTGGACTTATACTGGTCAAATAACTTTTTCACCATCATATAAGCTTCATCTCGTCTTTTAGTTTTCCTAAGAGTTTCTATTTTACTATACGATTTATCTAGGTATATTTCTTTTACTAACTTTGACTTCCTGATAATTAGATTCCTCAGTACTATATATCTTTCGTGTCCTTTATTGTTCGAACTTTTATATGGCTTTCTATCCTCTAACATATTAATGATTGCAGTTGAAATCCAGTCCTTTCTTGCTGTAATGTTTTTATGACATAAAGTTTTTGGTGTCGTGTTTAATGTTTATAATTGTATCTTTCAAGTTCTGCGATATTTCTTTAATATTTTGGGGTTCTTCAATAGTTCCGTCATTTTTTCCTCCACTATATTGTTCCCTTTTTTCTCTGTCTCTTAGATTTTTAATTTACCATTCCACCATTTCCTTTTTACCCAGTAAATTTAAGATTACATTTCATCATGACTAGATTGTGGTCGTTATTTTTTCCACTCCTGGGTAACTTCTACATTCTTTGACTTAATTTTTAAATCTGTTTGTAACAATAAAGTAATCTGTTTGTTATAAATTTATATCTCTTGGCATTTTCCACATGTATCTCCTATACAAATAGTGATTAAAACAAGTATTTTTGTATATTAATCAATAGTATAAGTCAGATGACATTAATTCTCTGCTCGCAGAATCAATTTATACAACATATTTAATTATGGTTTGTTTAGCATATTTGTATAACTTTATTCCCATAAGCTTATCACTATAAATTATTATAATAACAGATTTAGAGTTTGAGTGTTTCTTTCTTTTTTTTTTTCAGTAGTATACAATAGCAATAATAATAACCGAATTATCCCCAGGATGAAGACTATTAATAAAAATAATTTCACTTTTCTGTTATCTATCTAATCTAATAAGTAATGCACGTTATCCCAACGTCCTAAAATTCTAACATTATATCAGGGATACTATGTTAATATAGAAATATTATGCTAAACTTTGCCTCAAACGAGATCATAGTTTGCGCATCACTGTCAAAACACATGATGCGATTTCCTCTCACTATTCTGTGAAATCGACAGTCGACTTTGAACTAGACTGTATGTGCGCCGATGAACGACAACCGGTCTGGCAGCTGTAATATTCTCGTTGGAGACAAGGTATATACTTAATGGTACTAATTATTTATATCTATGTAGTTATCCCTATACACTAAAAACATTGATTAGTTATCTATGTTCAAAACTACAAAAACATACTTACTACCAACTCTAATGTTCGCTGTAATGATATAAAACAAAAGTTGTTAGTTACATTTAAATGTGGAATTTTAAAGATACAATTATTATACATTTAATTGATCTAGCAAATAATAGTATTATAAATCATCCAAGAAAAGAGGATAAGCTATTTTGGGTTAATTTTTTTACTTGTTATTTGCACCTACACATAAAAATATAACATGCATATAAGTTCTCCGGTAGAAAAGTTGGGCACAGATAAAAAAAAAAATAACATTTTTGAAAATCATGAGCGTCCTCCCTCTACTCTGAATCTAAAATTTAATATGTCAATCTGTTAAAAATAAATTGTTAAGTAGTATTTTAGTGGTGCAAATTACAATTTTAATAAGGTGAACGATCACACAAATTACAATTTGTGTAGGTACAAGATGACGCAGATAACATAATTCCCATTAGTTTAGTTTTATGTTGGCACAAACTAAAATCTTAAATATTAGCGCAAATTACTAAGATTATATTTAAATGTGTCGCAAAATAAATACCCTCACTAAAAAGGAGGGCCCCCACCTAGGCTAAGCTTCAGTCCAACATCGTCCTAAGGCTAATTTTTATAAATTAGGATTATATTAACCATAACTCAAGGGGAAGGCATCAACTGTACATACGATATAGACTAATTCATAAGTTATTTAATAAACAATAGCAATAGTGAATGAAGTAATGTGTTAAACAGAACCCTTACTGCCGTGGGTAATACTTAAAAAAAATTCTTATAGTATTATCTACTATGTATCTCAATGACGAATAAAAACGAATAAGCAAAGATCATAAAGTCAGTGAATCCACACTGCTCGTGATTTAATTTATACGATGTGTATTGTACTTACGACAAGTGAGAACTGGAAAATAAAAAATTAAATAAATATTAGTAATTTAAATATTTTCATTAGATACTACACATCGGTGTAACCCAACCTTTTTTTACTTAACGACCCTATTTCATTTTCATAAACTCACACCGCCCACCTCATCCCACATCGCACACCAATAAATTTAAAAAAAAATATCGTTTTGTTTTTAATTGGCCATTATATAAAGTGAAAATTAAATATTTTCATAGAATTTTGTTCTCGGATAAGATTCTAGGATAACATAATCTTTATTATGATAATAAGTAAGTACAAGAAATATACAATAATACTAATAAATCCATAAAGTTAGTGAATGGCCATTCAACATTAATTTACTTTCTAGTACCAGTATTTAGTGCTTAATTAGTGCTCAATTTGTCTACGATAGGTGGAATTTTCCACATAGCGTACGAACTGCATTTTTAAACTAATGAACTAGGTGACATAAATATCACCCAGTGAAAATATGTTATCGGCTAGTTGATTATAGTTTTAAAGATTGGGCGATATACAATAATAAATTGTTAGAAAAAGTCATAAGACAACCTTATGTGAGTGCTCAATATCCACTTGCTAACTTCACAGATATACACTAAATTCTAACTTCATTTGAATAATAAAAGTCACAGTAGAATCGCCCCCATTAGCGCTCCCTTAAGTAAAAAGTCCCTTTAAAATTAAAAAAGCCCACAAGGGGGTGGTATTGCCCACGTTGGGCATCACTGCTATACAGTTATTGTTGAATAATTAAAATAAATAATTTATGGGTAAAATATTATTAGTTATGACTTCGCAAGTAATATCAATAGTAATAGGTATACTATTAACATCAATGACAATGCGAGACACCGACAAACAAAATCTGGTTCAAAGTTTGTATTCAGTGTCATACGAAATCGATATATTAATAACGATTGTCTAATTTTCAAATTATTATTATAGATAAATTCAAATCCTAAAACGACAATGGCTTTAATAATTACATTAATACATCTCAAAAAAAAAAATACATCAATAAAAATGTCTGTAAAAATAATCATTAAGTATTATATGTTTATTATAAATTCGAGATCATATAAAATATAAAGTGAAACCGATTGTTTTAATAATATAATATTACATATTGTACATACTGATTTTAAAAAGTTGGAAAGTTTGAGGGGAAATATAATGTATATCTGTAAGCAANTATCTATTTTTCCGGTTTTCCCATTTCTTATGAAAATAGCTAGGGAAATCAAAAAAACCACCTAGGTACCACCCTAGCCAGATTTCTTGTCAGAAAAATTGCTATAACTGGAAAACGGAGCGAAATTGCTGGTAGATAGAAGAGTTGTTCACGGATGAAAATAATAAATCAATAAAAAAAATAAACAACATTGTAAAACCAATGTATTCCTCGTTCTGCTCATAATCTAAACTTACTTTCTGTTTACTTTTTTACATAAACTTAAAGATGGTATTAAAAAAAAAAACAGTATTCGTTCTGTATTATTATTTTCTGTTTATCTCTATTACCACCGTTTTAATTTCAAATTATGCATACCTACATGTATAATATTATTATTTAATATTCGTTAATTTTATTCAAATTGACGGTATGTTTTTGTTTCAAATATTCATGTATATCAGTAATCTGACGATGGCGCAATGCCAAAATTCAGTAGTTACGTAATAATACAATTTTACAATTCTAAGCCAATGTTTAAAATTGTTTCAACATATAATTAAAAACTGTACATGCACTAACTGTAACTTGAAATACAGAATTCAAACAAAGTAGTGATATACACATTTCATTTGAATTCTGTAAAGTAGTTATAACATTTATTTAATGAGATTTTTTTTTACAAAAGCATAACTTATTATTGTTTGAGATCCTTTTGAATTTACAATTTTTTCGAAATAATTTTTAGATATTTGCACAAAAGGACAAGAGTTTGAACAGATAATATATAATACTAAGAAAAAGAGAACAGGCATACTTCGCACGATGCTAGACCACTGTTGTAGGTGATAAATTAGGCAGGTAAAAGGGAAATTTAATATCTGCTCGCAACGATTACCCATTGCTAACGAAAAACGGTTCTGAGAGAAGCTTGGTTAATAATATTGCAATTTCAACAATATATATGTATATAATTTAATAAATAAATAAATAAATACATCGTCTAATTTGATTTAAAATAAATATATTTTGAATACGACGATTAACGAAGTAAACACATTTTGCATGTTCCATTTATTACATTTTTTTACCCCTGCTACCTACCCGACGTGGTTTAGCAAAAAAACATTTTTAAAACATGAGTTTGAACGCACAACCATTGGGTTGACAATATTTACGTACCACTGTATTACAACTGTCATACTATAAAATTGTCATTATATAATATCCGCACATTACCAGAACTTCAAAAGGCTATAATTTCGAAACTAAGCCAGTCCGCTTGATTCTGACTTTATCATCGTTCTTAAATATATATAAACATGGTCGATTTAAGAACGATGGTAAAGTCAGGTTCCATATAATTTTTAACTCAAACGAATTTCGTCAAAATATAATATTAAAATTCCTTCATAAAAAAAAAATATTATAGTATACATTAAGCTCAATATTTTTTTGCCACAAAGTTCGACTTTTAAAGAACCTTCTGTTCAATTTTCAAGTATTTTTATTTAATAATAATTATATCACAGAGTAATTACCAAATCAAAATTTTGTGTAAACTCACAAAATTAAAATCTCTATAATTAGCACAAAAATAGCTCAAATGTTTTGAAAGTTTTACAATGTCTAAAAAATGAAAAATGAGTTTTCTGTAAAAGTTTCGAGTTTCTAAAAATATTTTAAAATTAATTACAACATAATGAAAAACAAAATTGAAAATAATAAAAGCATTATTTTCTTAAATTATTCCCGGTTATTCGCACTTATTGGAAAAGCTACTGGGCTAGCCAAATAATCCCAAACAATCAATAATTAGCTGTTTGAAGAACCATCCCAGAGAAATTTTCTTTTAAAGAAGGTGCTACATATGAAACTTGATTTATAAAATAATATTGTTTAATATTTAAATTAATTTATTTACCCAACAAGGATAATAATTTGACAATATTATTACTTATTTATTTCAATGTTCTAACTAGATTCAAAATAAAATAGGTCCTTGAAAATAATTAATTGGAGGAAGATTTTTGTTCGAAATGTTTATAATAGAAAAAAAAATCACATATCATAATATAATCGTTAATTTACTCTTCACTAAGATTAAAAAAGAAAATATTCTAAACCTGGAGTAAATATAGTAACTACATTTAAATCTAGTGTTTTGACGTTTTCAAAGTAAATATTGAAAAATACCATTTAGAAAAAATTAAAAATGAAAAACTTACCTTTCGTATCTTTATTATATTTGAAATTTTCTATGAAAATACAAATAAACTGGTTAGTAATTATAATTGTTTTTTTTAATCCATGCTAACATGGAAATGATTCTCTAGGTTGATTTGTGCCGGAATTTCCCAGTAAGTAATTATCATTGATAATTTAAAACCTTCTGCGGACATGTGTAAAAACAAACGCAATATAATGAGTGAACAAATAATAAAAGTGACAAAATATGACCACCTGAGGTACACCTAAGAAGAATGTCATGTTCTCTAAAACATTGCCATTTATTATAAAATGTTGCGTCTAGTTTTATAGATCTGGACAATATTGATTACCTCTTTTAACGTAGATCCATTTAATATGTAAAACAAAAATTAAATTTGAAGTTGTTGATGTATGTGGATAAATGTAAAATTATGCTGTTGCTATAAGTCTAGAAAAAGAGGAGTTTAAATTCAAATTCAAATAGATTTCGAATTTATGATGTAATGATGATATGTCTTATATAATTTATAAATTTATAATATTAGAGCGATTGCTCTACTACCGATTTTTACAAATTTGTTGGATGAAAGATGTGCCAGAAGATAACGAAAAAGAGAAAAGTAAATTTAACAAAATTGTATAATAATCGTAGAATAAGTTCTGTATTTCTAGGACAAGTGAAAAATGGTAATAATTTTGCCTTTTACGACAGCAGAAAATTTTCGTGAATATTAAGTGATATCTAATAATGAGATAATGGTACTTTAGAAATTATTATTATAATACGATAAAAGTAACTAATGCAAAGAGTTAATTTTAAAGAGACTTCGTAGGATAATATAGACTGGTGCATCCTTTTTTCAGAACATTCAAAGAGAATTCGGTGGTAATATCAACTTTGGTTTTTTCAAATGGGAACCTAGGTATGTCTAACATTCCATAAATATACCGATAATTACAAAAAAATAAATTTTGGTAAAAATTTAACTGAAAATATGAGATTATACTTAATTTATTTTCGTATACATACTATTTTGGAATACCAATAGATTTCTTCTTCCAGTATACACTACACAAATAGATACGAGTTTTGTTATAGAATTTGAATTACGTTTTTATTTTAATCGCATAAATCATAATACTAATTTAACTATTATAACTTATAACTATCATGTTAAAATTAAAAATTGTCAGAAAATGTAAAATAAATTTTCTTTTTCTCATTCAAGAGTACATTTTATAGATTTGAGACAAGCATCGTACAACAACCTCTAGATTAAATTAAAAGTGCATCGAAATCCCAGCCCTAGTTATAACTAACATTAACTTTTTGTAAGTGTATGTATTATTTTTTGTCTCCTTATTATTGTTTACCCTACATTAGATGTAATATTTCTCAATGCTTCCTTAGCAACATACTCTTTTATCCTTGTAGGTTCATTATCTTATAGCTTACAAAACTTGCTTCATATATAGCTATCTTGGTCTTTTTAATTTTTAATTAAACACTCACTAAGGCGTGCATCACTCGGACAGTCAATAATTTCGACAATTTGTCCTGTTAAAAATAATGAGACAACAATATTTAGTACTCACATTATTATTATATTTGATGAATTCATTAAGAAAATTAAGTTCTCGAGTAAATAAATGCATGAATAGTTAAATAAACCCAAATAACCTAACGTCTTAACCAAACTTTAAATCATAATTCAAAACAAAATGTTTTTATTTAAATACCTAAAAACTAATAAGCAATTAATGCGGTTGAAAAGCAGACTTTAACTTTCATTATATTATATTAATCGCAAGTTATGATAATTCATAGCAGAGTTTTTTTTTAATGATATTTTTTTACAATAGGTGTTATTTATTTCGGGTTATACCGACAAATATTTTAACACGGACTATTGGTTTGTAGTGTACTATATGGAGGTGAGGTTATTATAAACAAATTGCAGATAAATCAGAATTGCGTTATAAAAATCTGTTGGAATAAATTTTTATTGCAAGATATCCATGGCAAGACTATATGGAATAAGGTGTTTTTCCGATAAAGAATAAGGTGTTTTTTTTTTCTACAAAATACTTGCAATTATATTCAATTTTATTTCATATAAAAGTAAAATACATATGTTTAAATATAGATATTTTGGGCAATATTTTGTTTATTATTTAGAACCGGTTTATTTCAACTTATGAAACTTATCATTATCATAGGACTTAGGCGTCATATGATAATGTCCCAATTATCCTATAGCGCAACTAATTTTAAAGGTATTTTAAAGTATAACGATAAACCATTTCTTATGAAAAACGATTCTGAGCAAAGTTCAGTTGATAGTGATGCTTTATCAATAGTATATACGTCATATCCTATTAAAATAATTAAATTGGCTTTCAATATTTTCTTTATAATATTTCTTTAATATTGTGCCGAATTATGAACCTCCTCTCAAAATTTAAAGGAAAAACAATCTGTTAAGTCTAACAATTCTATCCACACAATACTTACCTAATAAATATTAAGTAAAAAACTTGCAAAATATAATATCTATAAATAGCTTAAAAATCACGTGTTAAACTACAAAGAAAATTAAAAAACGATATTTTTGGTCACTATAACTAGATAAAAAACGTAAAAAAAAATTATTTATTATTTATTATTATTACCTAAGCTATACAAATTTAAAAGAATGAAATATTTGGGCAATAAATTAAAAAAAAAAATCATAATTTTCGTCTGTTTGAATTTTCCCAATTATTATGTAAAGTACCCTGGAAATCAAAAATTAACTTTCTTTGTCAGCTTATATGTTAAATGGATTTCTTGATCTCATATGATATGTTGTTATTTTTCTATTGAAGAAATATTTCTGGAAGAAAACATAAGTTGCATTTACTAAATCGTATGCAGTCGTTAACTAGGTACGCCTTAAATATTTGCCATTTTACCTATATTTTCTTTAAAGATATTCCACATTTTTTCAATAACCCCTCGGATGTTCTAAAAATGTCCTCCTCATTGCACCAACAAAAGAAAATTACCATTCTAAAAAATGCTAGTCTATACTTCGGAGTAAGTTTTCTGGTAAAAAAGTTATTTACAGGCAGAAAAAATACAAAACCAAAAAAAAACACACATCAAAGTAAAACCAATAGATCTCCTACTACGTTCCAAATCTATAGATGTAGGTATATAATTTGTTGTTTTCTCTATTTGTCTGAATTATATAATATCGGTTACATGACTAAATTACAAAATATGTTTTTAGTTTTCTTGTATTTGTATAGATAACTCAAAATTGCACCCACGATGGACGAAACACAAAGAAAAAAAGAAGATTTTTATACTGAGATAGAACTACTAATAGAAGGGAGAAGTAATAGTGAAATAAATATTTTACTAGAAGATATGAACGCTAAAATGGGGAAAGAGAGATCTTTTAGACCAACTGTTGGTAGCTACAGTAGGCACGAAATAACTTATGACAATGGAACAAATGTAATGGATTTATCTATAGGTAAATGTCTTAGAGTCAAGAGTACAATATTCCAAAATAAGAACATACATAAAAGGAAGTGGATATCATCTGATGGTAGGTACTCAAATCAAATAGTCCAGATATTGATAAATGAGAGATTTACCAACAACATAACGGATGTAAGAACATAAAGGGGAGGCGACTGCGACTCCGAACATTTTCTAGTAACAAGCAACCTTAGGGTTAAATTAAAAACAATGAGTAGGAAGATGAGGTCGGAAATTGTGAGGTATGATGAAGAAAAACTCAATGATAATAGAAAAATTAGAGTTTCAAGAAAATATGGTAATGGTGCGAAAAAGTAACTCAAATCTTGAAAAAGTAGATTGACAATGAAAAGTCATTAAACATACCTTGGAAACGAGTCAGAGAAAGTTTTGGGAAAAGTCCACAGAACGAATTAACTACTGTTTAACACTATTTGCCAAGAAGCCCTGGACAGAAGGAAAATAGCAAGATGAGAAAAGATAAAAAAGGCTAAATGATGCTAAAAATTGTGAAAAAGAAAGAAACTTTAGAGTAAAAAGAAAAGAAGCTCATAACAATATTAAGTATTAAAAAAAGTATGTTCAAAATGTAATATAAGTAGCGGAACAAGATTACAGATCACACAAAATGCGGCAGCTATATTACAAGGTAAATAGCTTTAGAGGTGGATACAGAAGGCAAGACAAATTTCTGAAAAATGATGATGGAAGCCTATTGACGAACCAGGAAGGCAAAATTGAAAAATGGGCAGAGTATTTTAAAAAACTAATCAATTGTGAAGAACCAGTAGATATCTTTACATATAGTTTCAACAAACCCAATGATAATCCTTGTCCAGCCCACATCAAAGGAGGAAATCGAACAATAAATCAAAAGGCTCAAAAACCACAAGTCACCTGGGAGAGATGACCTTCAAAGGAAAGTATTAAGCATGCAGATAGCTCCATGATAAAGAATATATACTTTTTAATAAAAATAGAAGTGGAGGTAAAGGAAACTTTACCGGTAGATTTGGGAATAGCATATATATACCCAATCTATAAAGAAGGCAAAAAGCAAGTCTATAAAAACTATAGGGAAATAGAGTTGCTAGATACAACATAGAAGGTATTATCAATTTGCATAATGGATAGAATCAAATATCTGGCCAAAAAAGTGGTTCGGAAATCAGATATTAATAATCAGACAGCTATTCCAGAAAAGCGGGAAATACAAAAAGGATCTCCACATATTCTTTTTAAATCTTCAAAAGGCGTATGACAGTATAGATAGAACTAGCATAAGCGAAATGTTAGAACGTTTCCATTTCCTAAGGAAAATAGAACATTTAATTGAAGCTAGTGTAATACAGACTAAAGTTATTCAAAGTAGGAAACACAACTTCAAAGATGGTGGAGGTAAGAACCGGGCTTGGACAGGTTTATACCTTGTCACCAATCCTTTTTAATTAAGTATTAGAGAAGTTATCCGAGAAATAAATATTAAAAGAGATGAAGGAGTAATAACAGATAGAACTTGCTTTGGCCTGCTCGCCCATGCAGACGATTTAGTCCTTTTAGGAGAAGAGGAAAAATAGGTGGTAGACTTGTGTGAAAAGTTAATAGAAGCAGTAAAAAAGGTGGGACAACATCTCAACACAGAGAAAACGCAATGCATGAAAGTAAGTAGGGAACTAGGTAACGTCCCCGAAACTGTATCCATAACCGTAGGCCATTATGATTTCAAAAAAGTGGAGGAATTTAAATACCTGGACACTATTGTAAAACAGAAGTATGAATGTCAAATAGAAATTCAACAAAGAATTAAAATGGGAAATAAATGCTTCTATGCATTAGGCAAACTATTCAGCTCAAAAATTCTATCAAAAGAGGTTAAATCTGAGGGTAAACTCGACTATATCTGATAATCATACAACCAATAATAATGTATGGTTTACATTTTTGGATTTTGCAAAGGACTGAGGAGGATAGATTACATATTTTTGAGGGAAAGATACTGCACAAAATATACGGACATATTTATGATCAAGATTTTCAAAGATGGAGGAAAAGCCACAACGTAGAATTGATTGAGATTCTAATAGACCAAGTATTGTAAGCAAGATTAAATGGAAAAAGTTGGAATGGGCAGACCACTTATGTAGTAAGCAAGATCAATGGTTCAAAGAGTGTTCCAAGAAAACCCAAGGAGCAAAAAAATTCCACTGGGTAGACCAAGGCTACGCTAGAAGAAGGAATTGGTAAATGATTTCCTAAATGCTAGAAGAATAAATTATGAAGGCGTGTATTGGAAGAAGGTAGCGGAAAATAGAGAAGAATGGGGAAGGATTTGTTCTACAGCAAGATTGAATAATACTATATTGTCAATTTTATACTACGTCTGTCGTAATGTAGTCGGCTACTTACATATTTTTATCCTAGAAATCACAAGTTCAAACCCATATTTCAAAAAATTATAATATTATTTGTATTGGTTTTTTTTCCTTTCCTTAAACAGGTAAAAAACGAATTTTGGGTGTACCTATCAGGGAGGCTATTATTTCAATTTCCGAGAAGTTTTCTCAGTAAATGGAAAACATCAACTGAAATCCGCTCATATACGTTTTTAGTAAGCAATGGTTTATTGCGACTTACAGATAAAAATTAATTCCCCATCTTTACCCTATCGTGCCAACTTCTCACTCACATTTCTTAATGGTATAAAATCGAATAAATTATATACAGTTTCAGATAACAACTTAAATTGGTAGACAATTGCATAATGCGTGTTCTGTCAGATTAAATAGGGAGTTAAACTGGTAACCACATTAGCTTACGAGGGGAAGTGTGACCTATTTACAATAATATCTACTTATTCTTATACTACACAAAATATTTTAGGTTCACTTACTATATGTTCCTAGAAAAAATAAAACAAAAATTAATTTGGAAATATACAGTAAAATTCATTATGCTATATTAATTTCATAGAAACTGATATATACAAATAATTACAGAAAAATTGATCATATTTCACACCAATACAAAAAAACACACAAAAAGTTCTTTTTATGTTTTTGTATTTCAAGACGGTGTTAGGGATCCGGTTAGGTAAAACTTAAGAACGAGTTTTTTCGACCCGTAATAGTTGAGATGGAGCCAGTATTACTCACCATATAAGCGTCTAAAACTAACAACAATTTTAGTATAAAAAAAATTAACTTACTATTATCAGCATCTAGAATAAATATTAATATGAACATATCACCTCAAACGTTGTTAAATAATAATATTTAAATACCAATAAAATAATAAAGTAAAAAAAAAAATGTTAAAATTGTTAATACTCATTAATAAATTTAATTAACATAACATAACATATTCACAAAATTAATGAAGTAACCTAATTATATATCGGGTTTGAATTTAAAACTATTTCTGGGATGACTACCCGTAATATAAAATATGATTTTCCAAACAAAGGAGAGTGTGGAATGTGCTACCCAATAATATAAATAACCAATATTAATATTATTTAAATTCAATGATGTAAACGAGCCCAACAGCAGAATATCAAAAATAGCAAGATATTATTTTAACATTTTTAATTATTTAAGCACAATATACACTATTTAGCTGCCGCTTTTTCGTCGTTACATTTTCGCCGTTGTAATTAAAAAAAAATAACAAAATTAGAAACTTATATATATATTTAATTTTAAATAATTCGAATGATTATAAAAATTGTAATTTTATTCCATTTTTGAGAGTCCAAAATAAAACATTACATTTAGTTAGATATAATTAGATTAGATATAATGTAGGTATAATAGATACATATATAATCAATATATTAATTGAAACAATTCTTTAGATTTCGAGTGTAGCGAAGAATGTATTGTCCTTTTTTTTTTCTATACAATGACAAAAATTGCTACCATAAATCTTACCTCGATACGTACGTATATTAACACATTTGAAATTAAATATAGTCTAGAAAATAGTCTTCAGGAGGTCATTTTTTGATTTTCCAAACGGCTTTTATAATATCTGGGAAAACTCGGGAGAATATGTAAAGAAAGTGGAAAATTTCCATAAACAATGCTTTTTATTATTTTTAATTGTGTTATTTGTTGTATTTAGTCCAAAATATTCGTCGAGAATTGAAATTTGGATAGAAAACTTATATTTGCCTATTTCTGTAAACAAACATTTGATCCATATTTAAGTTATTTAAAAACACTTTATTTTGTGAGGAATATTTATTTTATAGATGCACATGGATAAAATTTTGAAACAAACCAGAAATGAATGAAAATTGAACAGGAGTTTAATATCATAGGTCGCATATATAAATACAAAGTTAATTTAATGAAGTATAGTTTTTTACAAGAATATTAATATCAAATTTTTTTGACGAAAATTTTTTTAGTAAAAATCTGTGTAGAACAAATCTTGTAAATGGTCGATATATATTGTTTCAATATAATATTTATTTTACTGTAATATGNTGTAAAATAATGCAGACATAATATTGTAACGTAATTCTATTTGAAGTAGTGTCACTACGTACCTTCAATGTCATCACGGCTTGTAAATATTTTTATCCAAATTACTTATTGTAAATAATTGTTTTTTAGAATTTTTTTTTTTTTAATGCCGAAGTGGTCTTACGACGAAATTTTGACGTAAATGGTTTTATAGTGAAGTGGCGACAGCGAATTGGCAATGACCATTTATTCGTGTTTGAAAATATATTTAAGGCGACCAGAACGACATGGACGAGAAGTACGACGTCCGGGAAACATTTAAGTATTGTTCAATTTGTTTTTATATTTTTTGTGTTTTTATAAAATTTTCCGTGGATCGTTTATTACAATCTGTTTTTTTTGTTTAAATAGTCATAAGATATATCACTGTCTAGTATAAACTCATGCATATATGATAGTATAACAGATATTTTTTCAAAGGCATCGTTACAGCCAAAATACCATTACGAAAGATGTTAAACGTTTAATATACTTATTTGGAACTTATTTTGTGATGTTCCATATTTAAAAAGAACATTTTATTAATAATTCAATAACAAATAATTATTTTGCAAATTGAGTACTTACCAGGATTCGCATCTAGAATAATAAAATAAATATTATTTTTAATATCATGCAAAAATTCCCGTAGTTTGGAAAAACAAAACGATTATGTTCACATATGTACAAGGGCAAAGTGGTCCATCGAGATTTCGGGAGTTTTCCCGATGGACTAGACTGCTATGAGCTATAACTATAAGCTTATAAACATTTTAATTTGCGATTTTTGTGCGTAGTTTTTATTCGGTAGTACTCAATGTTTAAATTGTCAAACTAAAAATAAATGCATACAAATTTCAGTGAAGGTTCAATAAAAGTCTTACTTTGTAGTCGGAAAAAAAATTGTGTTTAATGTAGTATTTTTTCTTTTGATAGAGAAATTTTAATATCAAATTACGTATAACAAATCTAATTTTGAAATTTTTTGTCCTGAACATATGTATACTGCTGATTTTAAAACGATGATAAGGTCAGAATTAATTGAACTAATATTAAGCAGATATTATATGTTATGTTAAATAACTATAAATTGTCAAACTTAAATATGTTTGCCGTAATTTAATGGTTAAAATATTCTATTGACATCATAGAGATCATATTTGTAAACCGAAGTTTCGAAACAAATGCATTTTAAGTGTACTTAGTAACTATCGCTCGCTAAAACTATTTAATAGAAAAATAACCCTCGATTTGTTGTGCACGCTTTTCTACCAGAAATCTTGCTCTGATTTTTAATTGTAGTACTTTTTCTGAAGGAAATCGGACTAGAGTGATACTATAGGGGAGTCATTTTTCGATTTGTTTTGGAGATTTCTCGATAAATGGGATGAAACGGAAAAATGTTCAAAATGTAGGTATCAGTTAAAAAATATTACGGCCTTTTCTGTTTTTTACGAACAACTTTTCTACCAGCAATTTTTCTCAGATTTAAAATAATAGCACTTTTTGTGGAAAAAAAAATCTGAGTGAAAACGTACTTTAAGGAAGTCATTTTCTCAAGAGTTTTCCCAGTAAATGTGAAAAACCGCGAAAAAACGTAAAAAACGGGAAAATCAGCGCAATATTAAACAAATATTATTTAAGTAAATATAGAATGCCTATTTAAATTGTTTACAATAGTATGGCATACATATTGTTGAAAAAGCATCACTATCAACAAAACTCTACACAATATCTTGTTTAATTAGTATAGATTTATCGTTACTTACAGATACAAATTAATTTCTCCTCTATATCCTACTTTACCAACTTCTCACCAACAACAGTGACTTCATCCATCGTGCGAAGTATAATCTTTTTTTTGAGTTGCGATTCAGAAATTCCATTACCATAGAAATTTGTATTTTTATTATATTTATTGCATGGAAAAACGTTGTCAAAATAGGTTAGATTTTTTAAGCACTTGGCACACTCTCACATTGCAAGAGTTTGGTTTTTATAATAGTTTTTTAATAGTGTTTATTTACGTAAAACCCAGATAACCGAACATAACAATGAGTGATGAACAGCGAACGACTGTATCGGATTTAAGTCAGATAAGAACTTAATATTACGTATTCAAATTCATATTAAGATTATTATACATATTTTTATAGTTTTAAGAAGTATCTTACCAGCTGGTAACGGTATAACTGTTTGCCATTGAGGGTCTTGAGTTAAAAAAAAAAGATATAATTATTATTATCAAGTAATTTTTTAATTCGTGAATATATATTTATAATTGTAAGTTAAGTTTAAAATTAAAAGTTTCAGTTCTTTTTTTTCTTTTGTTACTTTGTAAAGGCACCTACAAGTTAATTTAAAAAAAAAAACGCACTTAATTTATTTAAAATAATTTAATTATTTTTAATATAAAATTAATAGTTTTTTAATTTATTAATTATTTATTAATTATAATAAATAATAAATTATACACGTTTCAGGAGTGCTGCTGATTAATTTGTGTTTAGTATTAGTGTTTTGAAAATAAATTAAAGAATTTTACATAAATTAATTTAATAGTTTATATAATTGATACTTATTGAAATTTAATTATTATTATTTAATAATCATCGTATAATATCTAAAATCATAGATTTAACATTGAATTTTTTTTAATTAGTTATTCTAAAAATATTATTAATGTAAAATATTTGAATACATTTTCATAATATTTGATTTACATGTATTCTGATATTTTTAAACATTACTTACTATCGGGTGCCAACATCTCTGTTACACCCTCTCCTACAGGAAAAAATTATAATCATTTTTAAATGCCACAGAAAATTATAAAATTGGTTACATGTTCACACGGCTGGGCAAATAATCTCTTTCATTTGGGACACTAATGCAGAAAGCGTTATTACAAATATATGAATAGTAGGTATACACGTATTTATCTACTACGTATAAAACGCCTTTAAATCCCAACAATACGATTATCCGAATATATTCGAATTCATTATTATTCTGGTTTTAAAATATCCAAGTATTCGAGTAGTTCCTGAAAAATTATTATATAAATTATAAAATATTTGTAAATTTTCGAGATTTTGTCTAAACTAAATATAACCATACTAGTCAAAATATTTTGAAAATCTTATCATGTATATAAAATGTTAATAAAAACATTACAAAACTTCAAAAGTTTACATTTAAATACAACTTAAATTATGCATATTTACCAATTATCGTGTATGATCTGCATGTGTCGATACAGACCGTCACAAAAATTATAGAAATTATAGAAATTATAATTAAACGTTTCATTGTTAATGTTAACTGTTGAGTATCTTACAAATAAGGAAAAGAACGTCAGTGTTATATAAAAAAAATTTTTTTTCACAAACATTTATAGTGGTTTCAGACGATGCCTAAACAAATATGTAAATAATGTGTTCTTTATTCCATACAATATTTGTTTAATACATCTGGAAATCTATAATAAATTAAATATTTACACATATTTTGTCTATAAAATTAGTGAGTTGAGATTTTTTTAAATGTAAATCTTTTAATGCTATATTATTTATTTAAAAGGAATTTGATGGAATAAGAATAAAGCATAATTTTTTACCTCAATACTTAAGTATAACGCAAGACTGCTCGCTCACATTCAATGAACATCTGAGTAGCTTAAGTAAAAATATTCGAACCCGTATTAACCTAGTAAAAATGCAAGTTGGTACAGGCTGGGATGACGATGCTAAGAATCTAAAGGATAGCAAGTTTGGGCCAAGTCTATAGTACAGTGGCGTATGGGTCCAAAACACGGGATGATAGCTCACACGATAAGAAAGTAGATACGCAGCTTAACAGTGTAATGAGAATAATTAGCGGAACTGTTAAATCTACACCACTTCAATGGTTACCAGTACTGGCAAACATTAAACCGCCACTTATACGAAGGAATGAAGTACTCTTAAAAACCATTAGGAAGTCTGAAGATCAAAAATGTTCACCCCTATACCAGATGCTGCTTCATACACCTCATCAGCGCTAAAAATCCAGGAGTCCAGTGTCCTCGAATAGTAAAATTTCCAGTTCAGGACAATGCTGAGGAATGGTGAAAGAATGGGCTAGCACTACTATATCAAACAGGAAACTTGTTCTCGACCCTAATATTGGAGTCCTAAGGATGAACCTTCTTCATAGCAAATGGTGTACACTAAACAGATTACGAACAGGCAATGACAGGTGCGGCGCTTTCTAACATAAATGTGGGTTCCAAGACAATTCATCCTGTGATTGTGGAAGCACGGATAAAACGATGGACCACATTGTAACGGAATGCCGGAAAAGAAAATTTGGCCGGGTTTATTTAAGGCCTACATCAAGTGACGCCAGACGCAATAGACTGGATAGGTAACCTCGATATACGTCTATGAAGCAATTATGTGAATAATTAAAATTAAAATTTTGTTTAGATGTAACTATTTAAATATATATAAACGTATTTTATACAATGTTATGTCTTGTTGGTATTTTTAGTTGAGTTGTTTTGTGTAAAAACAATAACGAAATAAATAAATAAATTTGTTTAAGACTGGAGTTCTCGATCTTTTAAGGACTGTGATCCTAATTTTCCCCTGAAAAACTATCGAGACCCACTTGGTTTCACATTTAGAAAAGTAGTTCATGCAAACAGCAGAAAAATCTTAAAATTACCACCTTTAAAGTACCACCGCAGTTAGATTTTCTTTTAGAAAAAGGACTAAACTCAAAAATCGAAGCAGATTCCTGGTAGAAAAAGTGTTAACAGGCACAATAAAATTATAAACATTATAAAACAAATATATTTTTTCAATTCTCCGCTTAGAATCTAAAAACATAAATTTCATGGAATCTATATAATTCAGAACAATTTTTCCGACCAACCAAAAATTGGTCACGACCCACAGTTTGAAAAACTGAACTAAGGTAAATTAAACACGTTTTAAAATGAGATTTATTTTAAAAATTAAATGTTTTACATTCAAATCTATTGGTTTTACAAAGATTAGTGTATTTACATTTTTTTTTCTACCTGTAACCATACTTTTCTTACTTAGATCTTGCTCTGAAGTATAGAACATGGAACTCTTTATAAAAGCAAAGGTCATTTTTTTGATTTTCTAAATGATTTTACAAATAGTTGGGAGAATCCGAAATAAAATTTTAGGTAAAAAAGACAAATACTCACGGCGTTTTAGTTTTCCTTCTTTTTGATTTTAGATTCTGAAGTTAGCGAAGAATATATCGGTTTTAGAAAGATGTTTTTTTTTTTGTATGTATAGTGAACAATTTTTTTATCACAGGGCTCATTCCGAAATATACGATACAAATTCTTTATATGATATTTATATGATTCCTGCCTCTGTAATATTAATATATGATTTTTTCAGTTTTGATTTATAATTATTCGGCAGATATCTATAATACACGTTAAGTCTTCTTTTTTATCTATAGATATTATTAATTGATTTTTTATTTTATAATTCGTGTTTTTATCATGAACCAACAATTATCTGAGATGATTTTAAATGAATTTGATTTTTGTTTTTTTTAATCATTATGGAAACGTTTATGCTTTTTAATTGTTATTAAAAAATGAACCATTTTTAATTGTTTACCCTTCTTTCATGTAACTTAAATAAATACACACTTTTGATTTTCTAATCAACCCTTTTTAAACACAAAATATTATGTATCAAGTATACACAATATTATGTATATTTTGTTACGGCTGTTAAAGGTAAACGACGAAATCGTATGAGTTTTAGAAATGTCCAGGCGAAACGTTAAATGTCCACGGGACTTGGACAAAATGTCATATTTTGGCTGTTCTCCAAATAAATTTATAAAGTTTATTGACCAACATCATTTAGGCAGTACCGTAAAGACCATAAATTTCAAATTTGCCCGATTTCGGCTTTTGATCGTAATTGATACATCATTTTTTTAAGTACATATAAATATATTATTGATTATAGTTTAAGCCTATAAACTATTTTTTATTAATACCAAAGAGAGGAATTTAAAAAAAAAAAAAAATACGACAACTTTTGCTTTTTGAGGTGACGAGGATACCCCACGCGATATTTTGTTATGTATTACAGTTTTAAACCGCTTCCTCCTTAATTGAGCTCTAGATACGCCACTGAATACGTATATAGTCCGATATAGACCTCGATGATAAACGACAAATGTTCTAAACTCATGGGTACGTAGGTACTCGGCGTATTATCATTTTATCAATATTCGTTTAGTTTGTTGACATTGTTCGTCGTACGTTTGTACAAAGTATTAAAGTACAATCTTCATAATCAGTATAATAATTATTTATGATGACACAAATGTGAACCAAACAAATATTAAATAAATACTGATCAGGCAAGTCACATATGTGAAATATAAAATATAACCTAAGTTATTTAACTAAAATTTTGTCTATATTCTTCATAAAATTTTAACTATTTAGAAAAAATCTCTAAAGAATATGCCATTATATAGAAAAAAGTATGCTCTTTCGTTTGGAATAATCAGATGTTCGAAAATCGGCTTAGAAATACCACTTTTTTCAATTTAAAATTGAAAAAACCGTAAAAATTCGCTATCGAACGATACTCAAATTTTGTCTATATTCTTCATAAAATTTTAACTATTTAGAAATGATCATTAAAGAATATGCCATTATATAGAAAAAAGCATGCTCTTTCGTTTGGAATAATCAGATGTTCGAAAATCGGCTTAGAAATACCACTTTTTTCAATTTAAAATTGAAAAAACCGTAAAAATTCGCTATCGGACGATACTCAAATTTTGTCTATATTCTTCATAAAATTTTAACTATTTAGAAATGATCATTAAAGAATATGCCATTATATAGAAAAAAGTATGCTCTTTCGTTTGGAATAATCAGATGTTAGAAAATCGGCTTAGAAATACCACTTTTTTCAATTTAAAATTGAAAAAACCGTAAAAATTCGCTATCGAACGATACTCAAATTTTGTCTATATTCTTCAAAAAATTTTAACTATTTAGAAATGATCATTAAAGAATATGCCATAAATTTTGTCTATATTCTTCATAAAATTTTAACTATTTAGAAAAGATCTTTAAAGAATATGCCATTATATAGAAAAAAGCATGCTCTTTCGTTTGGAATAATCAGATGTTCGAAAATCGGCTTAGAAATATCACTTTTTTTCAATTTATAATTGAAAAAACCGTAAAAATTCGCTATCGAACGATACTCAAATTTTGTCTATATTCTTCATAAAATTTTAACTATTTAGAAATGATCTCTAAAGAATATGCCATTATATAGAAAAAAGCATGCTCTTTCGTTTGGATTTATCAGATGTTCGAAAATCGGCTTAGAAATATCACTTTTTTTCAATTTATAATTGAAAAAACCGTAAAAATCCGCTATCGAACGATACTCAAATTTTGTCTACATTCTTCATAAAATTTTAACTATTTAGAAATGATCATTAAAGAATATGCCATTATATAGAAAAAAGCATGCTCTTTCGTTTGGAATAATCAGATGTTCGAAAATCGGCTTAGAAATATCACTTTTTTTCAATTTATAATTGAAAAAACCGTAAAAATTCGCTATCGAACGATACTCAAATTTTGTCTATTTTCTTCATAAAATTTTAACTATTTAGAAAAGTTCTCTAAAGAATATGCCATTATATAGAAAAAAGTATGCTAAATCGTTTGGAATGGTCAGATGTTCGAAAATCGGCTTAGAAATATCACTTATTTTCAATTTATAATAGAAAAAACAGTGAAAATTCGCTATCGAACGATACTAATATTTTGCCTATATTCTTCATAAAATTTTAACTATTTAGAAAAG